GGATATTTGAAAGCCCAAGAATAGCACAAAATTCTGGTTGTAAAGAAAATGTGATTTGTGGAAATGGCCCTGCAAGCTTAATGGTCGTGAATTTAACTTGTGTTTGTGGGTGTGGGTGTTGCATGGCGTCGGGTCACACAAACACTAGTTTTTGCCACACAAAAGCGTGGCAGTTAATTTCAAAGTATCGCAATTAATTAGCAATAAATTATTTAACTATTTTCGTCGAGCTACAATACGAAAATCTTATGTAGGGTAACCAGACGTCCCCTTTTATCCCGATATGTCCTCCTTTTTACTTTCTCACTTACGCAGTAGAGACAAGGTTACGAAATGTTCGCGAAAAACCGGCGAATTTGGGGCAGAAATAACTCTTATTGCTGGAACCTAATAACGAAAAAGTGGATAAATCCAATTGTTAAATTAAAAAAAACATCTTCTTAACACGTGGTGAAGCCAGAATCCATTTTTGTGGAGTCTTGATATCGAAAAGTCGATTGATGGAAAAACGTCCGTCCGTTCGTCCGTCTGAGCACTGTCTGTTCACCGACCGTTTGTGTGGGAACATCACGAGCGCCTAAACCACACGTAGGATTTTTTTTTCTAAAATTGATAATGTCCAGTCGATCTGGCTCGACTCAAGGAGCTGCGATTTTGAAAAACATTCTTTAAATTTCGGAGTACTTTACACGAAGTCCCAGGAACATTTTAAAAATTTTCTCAAAAATGACTCCAATTTTTTTCTTTAATTTTGTTGAAATAATGAAATAAAAACACACATTAAGGTAGCATACAGTTTGTTTTGTTTTTTAAAGAATTAAAGTTTTTAAAAAATTGTAGGAAATTTGAGAACTCTAATTTTGGTAATAGTGGTGTGTGGATAACGCGCGCAGATTTCGAGAAATAAGCCTAAAACTGAAGAAAGTGTGAAATTTTTAGTTTTTTAATTAATTAATTAATTTATTTACTAGCGGAACTTGGCAAACGTTATTCTGCCCCCATCTCTCTCTCCGTCTCTCTCCATCTGTCTCTGACTCTCTCTCCGTCTCTGTCTCTCTCTTCATCTCTGACTCTCTCTCTCCGTCTCTCTGTCCCTCTCTCCGTCTCTCTGGCCTTCTCTCCATTTCTCTCTCCGTCTCTCTGTCTCTCTCCATCTGTCCGTCTCTATCCCCCTCTCTCTCTCTCTCTGCGTCCCTCGTTCTTTTTTCGTATCGCTCTTTCTTGATCTCCATCTCTTTTTATCTCTCTTTTTTCGTCTCTCCCTCCTTCTTCGTCTCTCTATCTCTCTTCGTCTCTCTCTCTCTTCCCTCCCTCTGTCTTTGTCTCTTCCTCTCTTATCTTCTCTCCCTCTCTCTTCGTCTCTCTCCCTCTGTCTGTCTTTCTGTCCCTCTCTCTATGCCTGTCTCTGACACCCTCATACACATTTAGTTTCCGATTCTGCTCGTCTATGAGCAGATGGGGTAATTTTGAGAAGCTACGGACCAGCAAAAATGTAAGCGAATGTTGAAGATCTCATCCTGCGGATTGCGTTGTGGGAATCTTTCTTTCAGGCCATAGGCCTCTAAATTATGGTTTTTAATACTTTTAATTATTGTTTCGTGTATTTTTTCGATATTTTAATAGTTATTATGCTATTCGGGTGGAGATGAATCCAACAAATCAGAGTTAATTAAATCTGGTCCAGCATTCTTGAGTTATAAATGGTGTAACTAACCGGACATTGTTTTATATAGTTATTTATTTTTTCTGTTTTTTTGCGATTTTCATTGCGAAGCTGATCTTTTTAAAGGTGTCAAATATAAAATTCGAATTCAGCAGCCCAGAAAGCATATAGAATTGTTAAGAAAAAAATTCCGGAATATTTTCCTTGGTAGTGATTGAACTACAGGCGTGTTAGTTTTCAACGAGAGGTAAGTCATTCCGATAAGCTGGGTTCGTGTACGCTTGTGTCTGTGGTGTTGGTGTATGTGACGTGAGTATGTGACGAACTCGATGATACCTCAAGGGGAGCCTAGGCCAGCTTTCGTGAAATCAAGCTGAATGTAGTGCTCGTACGTAGCTGCGTCTCGCAAATGCTCATACCGCGTGTGCGTTGAAAGCAATGGCGGCTCGTGCTTAGGTTGCGCGCTTACACAACTCCCAGATAACCAAACAAATATTTTAAGTTAGGATTAGACATTTTGCACTCGCGGCTCGGGGTTTTCTAATTGGGGAAGGCTTCAAATGCATTGCATTATATTGCATTGCCTCCATTGCATTTCTATACATAATCTCTTCCGATACATGCAAAAGTCGCGCAGTATGCAAGAGTCGCGCTACTACTGCATATTAATAGAACTCATAGCACGCACGGATCCACGGGGAGCGAAATAAGGGAAATTATGCCTCTAAAATGTTTCAGTAACTAAGGGCCAAATTCATAGTCGTCACTTACACTGAATGTTCCCTTAAGTACATGAATAGTATTCATAAACAGCCCTTGAATGAAGTCTTAAGAGAGCACTTATTTCTATAAGCGAAGCAGCCTGCTCCCGTAAGTGTCCCTTATGGCTCCCTCTCATCGTCAGCCGTAACCTTTAAAACGGAGTTCACCGACTTTTGAATTCGTTTTGCTGGTATTCTAATAGTGTAGCCAGTTAAAACGTTACATTTGTGAAACGTTATGGAAACAGACTTCCAAGATTATTTTGAGTTTTATACTCAACACATCCTGCGAAATTTAAAGAGATATATTAAAGATAAGAGCAACCCTTTGGAAATGTACATTGATGAACAATTCCAAAATCGTTTCAATGTAACTACTGTACTGCATACACTTGTGCCGATGATCGACGAAGTCCTAATGATTACAAGAGGGCTGCCAATTTCCCCCTTATTAAAAGTTCTCGTTGCCTTAAAATTTTACGCAACTTCATCCTTTTAGGTATGTTTCCAAAATTTTTAACTTCTAGTCATTACTGACTTATAAGACCTATTATAAGTAATTATGAATTTGCCATATGAATAACAAGAGAAGTAATTTAATTTGTTGTAAAATTGTTGGAATTTATGTTAATACTATACGTGGTTGACATTTTCACTACCTGATATGTTAATAATACATTACCAATATTGGCATACCAATGTTCGTACCATTTACATTAGTTATACCAGATCATAAGTTAACGTTGTGGAATCAATTGAAACTGAATCTGTTAGGCCTTGCACGTGACGCTCTTAGCTCTGATACTGCGTTTACTCTTTGGCTCAATCTTCAACACAGGGCTCAGTACAGATGCACAACTAGTGGGTGTGATGTCTTGTCGCCGAACTACGCGGCGCCCAAGGGGAATACCAATTTTCTATCTTCGTCTGACACTAGCTGAAACTTAATTTTATGAATTTCGCATGTTACTTAAGTACACACCTTCAGCCAATTATTGACGGTATCGGTTGCATTGGTTGCTTTGGTTGCATTGGTTGATGTTCGGAAAATTTATTTTCGTTT